CAAAGCCAAGCTCCCTGTTACGTACTCTATTGCTTCTTACCTAAGTCGCATGCACCCTAAATTTCTCGAATCAGTACACAACTTTCTCACCAATGCTAACATATCTATTTAAAACTACGTTCTACAAGCTCTAGAAAAACAATTCAGTCTATTACTAACCTTGTTGTCCTCGTCGGCTCCACACTTACTATCCATCCCAATAACATTATCTCCTTGCTCCGTTATCTATCTCCTTATTGGCTCCCTGCATGAATTACTTCCTCATTGGGGGATTTGTGAGCCCTCGGGCTCTGGCGGGCTGGATCTCCTCGGTGATTGGTCACCGAGGTAATCGTATCTATCTCCTTATTGGCTCCCTGCATGAATTACTTCCTCATTGGGGGATTTGTGAGCCCTCGGGCTCTGGCGGGCTGGATCTCCTCGGTGATTGGTCACCGAGGTGATCCTTTCTCTGTTTCAGATCGCCGTGGGATACTCGCGCTAAATACCCCATAGAAACGCTCCATTTTGTAATAATCTTGTGGCCGCTTGTAAGGGACTAGGGTCCTAACTAGTGCCAACATACATAAAAGAAGAAGAAGAAGAAGACTGCGGGACGGAGACAGGACTAGATCACGGTCTTACTCGCTATAATGAAATTAACGTTCATCCAGAACCCAAGCAAACCCGAAATTCTGCAAATCTGAACAAAGTTCGATAGGCATTAACGTTTTCTGTGATAAATACATAAGTAGTCGTACTGACGGAGTAGTTTAGGAAGGGTTTCATAATCTTGCTTTCGCCGGTTCGATTCTCAGAACCTTTATTTAAATTAATTTTTGTAATTTATATTTTTTATATAAATTATAAATTGAAATAAAGTAAATTCATAAATTACAAATTTATATAAAATAGAGGCTAAAAATATAGTGGTGACGAACTAAAACGTTATGCACATGCCTGGTAGTGTCCAAGGATGTTCAGCATCAAGTTCAGTCATTAGTTCATTATTTAGTTTAGTCATGCTATTGTTCACAAGATGATACTGCAGTTGATCGAGAATAAATTGAGTGATAGAACTATTCTTCTTGTAGTAAAAAAAAAGATGAGAATTATCCAGAAGCTACGTGCTAAGATAGACTTTGCATCCTTTTTTTTTGTATTATTAACAGCATCTATTATTCCATTTCTTGAAGTGTCTAAAAACACTACGATATTGTATTGAATACAGACAAAGGGTCGCTCGATCACAGCGACGCTTGTGACTAAAATTTAAAATGTGCCGTGCTTCAATAAGGCCGAAAGTCTCCATGGCAAAGGCATTTTGTGCTCCGATCGATGTCCATGTGGCAGGGGCTCCGAAACGGTTGACCATGTCCTGTGGCATTGTCGCCGTTTCTCACACCTCAGGCCTAAACTACTCCTTTCTATCCGCAAAGCCAAGCTCCCTGTTACGTACTCTATTGCTTCTTACCTAAGTCGCATGCACCCTAAATTTCTCGAATCAGTACACAACTTTCTCACCAATGCTAACATATCTATTTAAAACTACGTTCTACAAGCTCTAGAAAAACAATTCAGTCTATTACTAACCTTGTTGTCCTCGTCGGCTCCACACTTACTATCCATCCCAATAACATTATCTCCTTGCTCCGTTATCTATCTCCTTATTGGCTCCCTGCATGAATTACTTCCTCATTGGGGGATTTGTGAGCCCTCGGGCTCTGGCGGGCTGGATCTCCTCGGTGATTGGTCACCGAGGTGATCCTTTCTCTGTTTCAGATCGCCGTGGGATACTCGCGCTAAATACCCCATAGAAACGCTCCATTTTGTAATAATCTTGTGGCCGCTTGTAAGGGACTAGGGTCCTAACTAGTGCCAACATACATAAAAGAAGAAGAAGAAGAAGACTGCGGGACGGAGACAGGACTAGATCACGGTCTTACTCGCTATAATGAAATTAACGTTCATCCAGAACCCAAGCAAACCCGAAATTCTGCAAATCTGAACAAAGTTCGATAGGCATTAACGTTTTCTGTGATAAATACATAAGTAGTCGTACTGACGGAGTAGTTTAGGAAGGGTTTCATAATCTTGCTTTCGCCGGTTCGATTCTCAGAACCTTTATTTAAATTAATTTTTGTAATTTATATTTTTTATATAAATTATAAATTGAAATAAAGTAAATTCATAAATTACAAATTTATATAAAATAGAGGCTAAAAATATAGTGGTGACGAACTAAAACGTTATGCACATGCCTGGTAGTGTCCAAGGATGTTCAGCATCAAGTTCAGTCATTAGTTCATTATTTAGTTTAGTCATGCTATTGTTCACAAGATGATACTGCAGTTGATCGAGAATAAATTGAGTGATAGAACTATTCTTCTTGTAGTAAAAAAAAAGATGAGAATTATCCAGAAGCTACGTGCTAAGATAGACTTTGCATCCTTTTTTTTTGTATTATTAACAGCATCTATTATTCCATTTCTTGAAGTGTCTAAAAACACTACGATATTGTATTGAATACAGACAAAGGGTCGCTCGATCACAGCGACGCTTGTGACTAAAATTTAAAATGTGCCGTGCTTCAATAACACGTCTACCCCCACCGCTGAAAATTGGGCGAGTTGCAAGACCTGTATGTAAGACCGTGGTCCCTCTAGTAAGCGTCCGGCCAACGGTGGGCCTCTTACTGATTGGCTCCGCCATTTTGAGGGCTCTTTCCAAGATAGGATGTGTGTGTGTGAATACGTATATGGGAGGGATTCGCATTGTGTAGCGGGGGTAGTGTTAAGCCCTGTATGGCGGGTTGCCTGTACTTGGCGCGAGACTCGATCGAGTCTCTTGATGGTAAAGATTGATAGTTTGAAAATGCGCGCGCAATGTCATGGCGGCTCCAAACGAGCCCAAAACATGGCGTCCCTTCCGGGTATTGGCCGGACTCTTACTAGAGGGACTCTAATTTCCAAGTTCATAATGCGCCCTCTAGAAATATAAAATTCTGCTTTTGAGGTTTTTTTTTAATGATTTCAGATTTATTTACATATGTTCCTTTTTCACATGAGGTAAAAACTACTAATAAAGAATTACAATCTCGTCGATTTGTACAAAACGTCAATACATCCATTAAGGGGGGATGGAATAGGCATTGGTATATATAAGTTGCCACACGAATGAGGCTGAAAGTGAGGAAACTTCACAAAAAAGACTTTTGATATTGAGATCTTTATTGTAGCAGTAACCTGCACCATTCATCGGCCTCCTCGTGATGAAAGTTGTGCAACGTCAACGATGAGTTGGCGACTAATAGAAAAAACGTTATTGATGTCAATGCTATCATGAAAAATGTTAATGATATTTTGATATCAAATTCAGAACCAGCGACCGTAAAATCTTCCAAGAACTAAGTTTCATGTGGATCAAACAATTTCAATTTTTAATATGACTATTTAGGGTCAGCCATTTTTTATTTTTGAATTTTTACTTCAGATCCGTAATTATGATAGCTTTACCTCGAAAGTTTTTGCAAATAGACATTGCTCAATGTAAATTGTTTAAACCGGGTTAAACAGCTGCTGATAAAGAATTGTTCGTATAAACAAAAAAATTGTTTTGTGGAAACAAGTTTTTCCACCTCAATACATAAATGTTGCAGTATAACTACGAAGTTTTTCAAAATTTTCTAGAATAAGTAAAGCTTTGGTTTGATTTTTTGCAAGACCGGGACAAAATCGGATGCTTGGTCGCTAGTAAGTTAAAATAGAATTTGTAGAAGGACTATGGCTGATATAATTGAAATGCCAGAATTATATTTTTTTTTAAATCAAATGGAATTGCTTATACCACAGCTTATTGAAGTTGTAACAAGTATATATTTTTCTTTCTTAACCCGCGAAATCACGCATTCTATGAGTATTTTTCTCACGCGATACGACTCAACCTGTAGTGACATAGCAGTGAGAGTGAGACGTTGGAATTTATGCGCCTATTGATCAGTTAAGAGACTAATCAAATTTGAGGGACAATCGACACTTCATATAGTTACTTCATTTTTTTTTGCTTCGCAATATAATATACATATAGCCAGACCGCGACATCTGCTCCACTTTAAGGGATCGTCTCCTCACGAATTCATCATGTTATTCAGCCCAAACGCACCATCAGAAGTTAGCACATCAGCTCACATGGTAATACCATATTGATCGGGTGTATTTGTGCTGAATAACCGGGTATATAGGGTTATTCAGGAGCATTGCAATGATTGACTGAGCCTGTCAATTTGATTTATATGCCGTAACTACCTTCGTATTAGTGCAGTACTTCTGAACAATCCTGTATATTATATATCTTGATGTACATCTCATATATTAAAATACGTAAAAATTAAGACCTTTTCTAGAGACTAGCTATTTAGTCAAAACCCTCGCTGTGCCATGAGATTGTAAAACACAGTATCGCTACTATTATTTTTCAATATTTTGTTTCCCACTCTATGTCGCGTATTCCATTTCTTAGTTGTCTTCCATCGTCATAAATAAAACGACTCTCTTATAGCATATCAGATCAGCGTGTCAATATTGTAGTTTTTTATTAATTTTAAAAAATCATGTCAATCAGCGTAACAGCTTGGAATTGACCCCATTGTGCACTTAAACATAGCGAAACTCATGACTTCTTTTATATTTGTAAATCGCATATTTTCCAGATATTAAAAAAAAATTATAATAAAATCTAGTGGACACGAAGTAATACTCGCCATAGTTCTTGTCTTTTTTGCTGTTTTTCACCTCTCGGTAACGAAGCAAGAGCACAACTTTTCCTTTTCTGCGACCTTCGAACATTTTCTGATTTGTAGCATTTGCCAAAAATCTTGTTTAATTCACCATGTTAAGAATAAAACGTATTGTAATTCGCGCGCCATTCTTCGGATCAGAACGAGATTCTTCAATACGCGTTTAGACGCAACAACGGAGTGTGATCAAGCTGTTTCTTAAAACTATAACATCTGGTGTGCGCTCTCTTATTTATTATTTTTATTGCACGATGTCAGCTACTAGATTTTAGAAAGAAGACAGAAGAACAAGAATGTTATTGAACCCACGCATTTTGATAATACTTTGATCCCACCTCCTAGAAAATTTTGTGAAGTTCATCTGGTAACAGGTTCTCTGTGCCGGAGAAAACGAACAGAACAATTGAACGAGGTGCCGTACAAAATTATTGTTAATGTGCAGGGAAGGATATGAAATAAGAACTTATGGGAACACAAAAACAAGTTTTTTGAATCTTCCTTCCCTTTCACATACACCAGCACTTCGGCGACAATAGTGTCGCAATATAACGGTAAATACAACTTCATCTCATTATCCTGAAGACTACTGTTCGTTCAACTATTTCATGTGTGTACAGGTACACGGAATGATAACGTGAGAAGCAAGACCATTTTGTCCGTTATTTTCATTAATTCGTTAAAATATTTATTTTATCACTTTCCTTATACGGGGATCTTCATTTAAGTATATTTTAAAGTTTTAATCGTAAAATGTATGAAAATGAAGCAGATATAATGGCGGCCTAAATGATGATTTTCAAGTTGTTAAAAAATTGATTGGTCTTAAATGTTATTCTCGAAAGCAAGACTTCTGTGAATTTTGAGTCAAGGTAAACCGGTTTTTAGCATATAAAGAAGGTGGCTGAACAGTTAAACAAGAAAAAAAGGAATTCCTAAAAAAAATCGAGTGATTATTGTTACAACAAATGCCACTCAAAAGACCCATGTTTCACATTTAATGTCTCTAGAAAAAAACCCACTAAAGCACGGAGAAAAAACTTAACTGTGTTACAATAAAAAGCCTGTTCGTCTTTGAAAGAACCTAAATAAAAGACTTATAACACCTTGCTTTTATTAAATAATCTTGCAGTATCAAATTATTTAACGGAAATTATAATAATGAATAATTAATGAAGTTCGAAAGTAATAAGATGAAATGAACAAACGAAAATAGTACCATTATTGGTCAATAAGTATTGTTCAGAGACTGGTTTTAATGAACTTGAAATTAGGTATAAGAAGGGACATTGATTTTATTCCCATTGATCAGAAGTATAGCGGAGCGCATTGAAAAGAAAATCATAAATGAAGAATAAATGACAGAGGCGTTTTGCAAACACTTCTATGGCATGACTATTAAATAATTTTATTAACAATTATAAAAACCAGTTTCTAAATGCGGTCGGACACAACACAGGGTACAATGACTTCCATATGCAGGATTAAACAGGGGGAGGCGGAACACGATTAGAACAAAAAAGGAAATAAAAAGAGCTAAGAACAAAAGAATAGGAAAGAATTAGCTGCGACATAAATAAATATCGTAAGGTGTGCTGCAACATTAGCATTGTGGGGTCACAGTCCCCGGTTCTTTTCTGTTGTATATGGTTACTGCTGTATCGCTGTATCGATTCGGCAGATCATGCCAGATAGCTATAGGTGTCCTTCTGACCTTCTGTTCTCTCCAGATACTCCTTCTCAATTAAAATATCTATACATTTCTGAAAGAATATCGTTATTAAACATTTGATTGATTCCAATGCAAGGAAACTTTGTTTTCACTTATATGATCTTACTACATTTTCGGGTTTAATTATATATTTACCTTAATGACGTGAACTCTCGGCTTGAACCTAGAACTCAGCTGATTGAGTACTTCGGCAACGAGTTGTTGGTGTTTCAAGACCTTTCGCATTTTCATAATTCTGACGATTGCCGCCTGAATCAAAAGCTTTCGGTCTTCCTCTATATGCTTATGAGTTGTTTCCTGTTCTACCTTGAGTTCTGTCTTCATTTGCATGTTGATATTTACTCTTAATTTTTTGCTGCAAACATTGAAAGGGTTAAGTAATAATCTTTTTTGATCCGAGAAGAAAATTTATATGTACAGCACCTCTGATAAGTTAACCTCTCGGGAGCTAGTCCGATTAGACCTCTTCCAGTAAGTTAATTCCCTTACTATCTGCCTAAGTACCTGCCCACTTTCCCTTCGATGCTTAAGTGGGAGAATTAGTACAGTGGGGAGAGACCATTGGTCTCTGTCTCGCACGAAGCTTGCCTCCGTGTTACCTCTCTGTCACTTTCACAGCCACGAGGGTTTCAACACAGGTAGTAAAATGGAGGGAGTATCTCGTCTCCCTACCGAGCAGGTAGAACGGTCTCAATCTTAACTTTTTGGAAGTTCGTTTCTTAACTTACTGGAACGCATTGATTTACTAGAGGTTAACTTACTGGAGGTCCTACTATATCATTAAACTGAATATTTATATTCAAACGAAATTGTGTTACGTTCCAGATATTAGTGACAACGTGAAATTTGTTCAAGTTTTAGCATTTTGGGTCATAATAAGACGCATACAAACATTAAAAGAAATGTTACATTTAGATTTTAGCTATAAAATCATAATGTACCACATAGTAGAGTACATACACCAGTAAATGAACTCTTTAAAATATGCCTCTAACGAACGGACACCCATGATAAAATCACTATATATTATAACTTACGTAAAAGCATCCATTTACTGGGGTCTGTCAATTCTCTAGTGGAGTCACACTGACATATAATCTACTTTTAAGAACGTATTCCAAGTTATGACAAACATTTATTCTTGACAACTGGTGATACAAAAGGACAACAAATTAACCCTTGTTGTAAAGCCAAATTTCACGCATCTAGTCAAAAATGTTTTTGTTCAATAAATCATTTATTTCAGGCAATGATATACACTTGGCGGTGTTGAATATCGGAGATAATGATGACTCAAAAGTCAAAATGTATGTATTTCGAATGCAGTCCAATATGGCGTCTAAAATGCCGAAAATTCAAATTTACATCGAAATTTTATTCTCAGCTTTTTAGATAACTGAATCTGAATTTTTTATTTAATAGCATACTATAGAAGGTGTGTAGAAGTAGAAGAATCGCTCGAAAATAGTAATTTATAATTAAAGTTAAATGGAATGTTTCTAATATGCTATACGTCTATTGAAAAGAAAAATTGCATATTTGTTTTAATTTTCGCTAATAACCAATATGCGACCTTTATTTTGAATAGTTTAGCCTCAAATTTAGATTCAGCGAAGAAAAAACTGTTAGAACCATTGACGTATAATATGGACTGCGCATAGGCATATGAAAAATGGTCGGCTGAAAGAAAAAGATAGCGACTGATGGCGGCCAAGCCCTGTGTCTTTCTAATTGGCAGCCGTTGTACGAAAGTATAAAGAACGTAGCCAATAGGAGCATTAGAATATGAGAGCGATTGGCTGCCACCTCATTTCCTCTTTGTTGATTTCAATGGTCACTGTTCCAAAGGATTTAAAGTAGGGATCGCGTAGTCCATACTACATGCATGTCGATGGTTAGAACTGAATTAGAAGTCATCGGGTTCACCATTTTAAATTTGTCAATTTTTAAATCAAATTCGAATTCAGAAACCTCAAGAACCCCCCTGAGATATAAATGTCATGTGAACCATAGCAGCAAAAATATTTGTTTACAGAGATGCGCTTTTAAGGGGGGAGATATATGTAAAGGATCAAGAAAATTGTAATTTTTTTTTTTAATGTAGTAAATTATGTGTAGAATACACCTAAAAAGTTTGAAATTGAAAGTCAGCGTAATATTAATGTTATAGCTTAAGAAGGATCCTCATCTGCGCCGGCCTCTCAGCACGTTCCATGTTAATCGAAACTTTAAGCGCGTTTTTCTCAAAGTAACATTTTTGAAACTCGTGAAAAAAATAACTCAAAAAAAATACTTGACCGATCTAGCTAAAATTTTTCACATATCTATAGTATACAAATACCTCGAAGTTAAACCTACATGTTCCAAAAAATTATTGACAAAAATACTTTTTTAATGCAAAAAAAAAAAGAAAAATATTCACAAAAAACTCGAATTTTTGTTGCAAAACTTACAAATTTATGAATTTCGAAATTTTCTCTTATTTCATAGGTTCAACTACGAATAATACATGTTTATGAAGAACATCGTTATCGGGCTCGTTGTTACAGATCAAAATTGCCGACGATACAGATCCCAGTAATAGGGCACCTCCGCTTTAACCTGCTTTACAGAATGTAGTATATCTGCGCTATTATATATTGTACAAATTTCAAAAAATTTGAAAAAAAGTTTTACATTAAGGTTGTAATATTTCAAATATATTAATTAAAAATTTATATGAAAAAATTCACAAAATTGGCTTATTCTTGGCCTTCTATTGTATGTACATGTATCTCCCTCCTCCCTTAAGGCATCAATGATATCCAACTGGTTTAAACATATTACAAACGTATAATATTTATGGAATGGAAGATATAAAATGCATGAGATACTATATAACCACAAACATACGTTATTCAATATAATTATATATATTTTGCAGAAAAAAAAGCAGTAGTGCTAGATAGTAATGGTAACTAAATCCCGTACTTGGTCAAGGATGTGGCATCGGTTCCGCATACGTGCGAACTTAATTACAGTTAAATGATACTAATTCTTAAGATTTATATAAAATTCTTTTAGAGTCTATTATACGAATGAATCTTTATTGAACTAGTTTATAAATTTTATTAAACCTGCTTTAAGTTTTATTGTATTATTATTTTTCAAAACACGAAAGTTTTCTATTCGCTCTATTTCCGTAAGCGAGCGAGTTATTCTCTAAAAGGCGTTTAGAATCAGAAGAGAATAATAAGTAACCGAATAATTGCGTTTCATAGTTTAGTTTCATTTTTAATTGTTAGTCTACATCATAAAGATGATGACCATGTGTTTTCTTTTGGCATTTTTTGTCGGAACAAAACATTCCAAGGATGTCACGATCACGAACGTTGCATCTACGTTGTTTTGTTAACCACTGTGATATTATTGTTTGTGTTTTTCGAAACGTGCAACACACATGAATAAACGTTGTCGTTACTAAAATATATTAATGGGTTCTCTTTTCACCGGTGCCTACAAGGGCCTGTGTTCACATTTTTAACACTAAACATGCCAACAATTTTTTATAAACGTATTTTTGACTTTAAAACGGTCAAATGACCGGTCGATGGTAGTTTAGTGTTAAGCAAGGGAACTTCGGAATATTCCTCTATGAAAGTGACAATAGTAAGCATTTCGATTTGGCAGGTTTAATGGCCAATTTCTTCTCCTGCGGATAAATCCCCAGCTAACCAATTATTTTAATGTTTTAGGAGTTTATCCGCAAGATAAATTTTATCCGAACGTGAAAAACTTAGCCATAAGACACTTAAAAATTTTGTATTCATCTTGCAGTGTAAAGCGTAAAAAGTTGTCCAATGTAAAAATTATCAATGCATAAACTTATCGATTTTTGTTTTAGAACAAGAAACTACTTAAAATTATGCATTGTTTTTGCATAATCATGATCATAATTCTAAGCGATGTGATTTGCAATACAAAATCATGCTATTTTTACGTACTTTGAAAAACACAATGGAAATGCTAACGCATTGATAAATTTTATTCTAGAGAACCTTTTAAATATATCGCCGCAAGAATATGGACGAACAGAAAAATTGTAAGTGGCTTAAAATTGTGCAATCAAAATTTTCACGATTGCCATCTGCATAGATGAATACTTCAAAGTTCCCCTGCTTAAAAATACATAAAAAACACATGGTTGCCGTCCATATGATGTAGATCATCAATTAAAAATGCACCTAGATTCTTGTAGAATGCGATTAGGCAGTTAAGCTTTGGTGTTCATCATAAAGTCGGTTGCAAATACAAATAAAATGATAAACTTACTATTATTCTATATATTTTTTTTCATTCATTAACCCATATACATGCATGCATACATTTCATCTATTCAGTTTTTAATTTTTTAGCTAACTTATTGACATTAAAACCCGGTTTTCTGTTTCAAAAATGTCCCTAGAATATGAGTAAGTGTACAAAAAATATAAAGAGTTACTAATTGTTAATAAAAATAGTACTATAATATAAAGAAAAAAAAGTATAAAAATACGTGCTTTTTTAAAGATGAAATTCATTTTATTAGGGGTCCGGACACAAATCCATTATTTTTTATCTTAACAAAAAGGTAAAATAATGGATTTCTCTCCAGTTTCCCTAATATATTAAACTATGTTCAATATTAAAAGGAAAATTTAGGTAAATACTTAGGTATTTCGGTAAATTTAATAAATATTTAGGACAGTTTAAAGTAAGTTTAAGGAGTTTCATCGAATTTTTGGGTCTTTTTTATTATTAAACTTTTATTTATTGAAAAATATGTGAAAATTAATATTGTTTACTCTGAATCGAAAAATATAATTTCAATATCTTTTATACTTGTTTCCTAAGAGTATTTTGGATCAGTATATCCGAATCTGAAGTCAAAATTTTCAAATTCCAATAATTTGAATTATGAAAATTTGTTACCTACGATTCAGATTGTGCAACAAAAAGAAATCCAGAAAACAAATTTTTAAAAATTTTAAATGCGAAGAAAAACATGATGTTTGAAAGGGTTAACTGTATTTCACATTTAATTAAGCTGAAATTCGATTAGAAATACTGAAACGAAAATGAGGAAAGCAAACGTGATAATAAGAATGTAAGACGATGGTAGAAAAATCCACTATACATGCGCTAAAATACCTCTGTAGAACAAATCCGACAAACTTGGCAATTATAATGAAAAGTCGATCAATTTAGACTAATTCGCTAATTCATACACGTACAATGATTAAAGTTCTCCTAGAATCGAAATTTACACAACTTAGAATGTTTATCTCTATAAAATCACTGATTGTTTGTACCGTCATACCGTGTTTCATGGATAATGAAATTTTCGACATTTTTAACCCTTGCGATACGACGGGTGACTATAAATCACCTGTCACAAAACGCCCACTACACATCACGGATGACTATAGTCACCCGCTACATATTATATACTATATATGTGTATGTACACTTTTGGCGCGGCACCTCGTTCTACGGGAGAGCGTGCGCGGTGCGGACTATCGTAACGAAAGGGTTAAATGAATGCTTGACAATTTCATGTATAATTTTTTGAACTACTGATGAAAATTTGTAACTGTGTCAAACATTTCAAAAAGTAATGAACACATTTGAAATTCTAAAGTCAGAAATTTAACGAAAATATGTAGACACGTTATAATAAATCAAATTGACAAATTTTACATTAAAAAATTGAATCATAAAATGAAAAAATAGTGAACTACTCACTTTTTGTATCCAGTAAAAAGCTCTACTGTGGATAATGGAGTTAATTCCGTCTCGTCATCGGTGGCAGCCGTTAACAATTTAGCTTTCAGAAGAATTTGAATGACCTGTAGGAAAAATAATACAGCAGATCATAGCTGCTGTTCTATCACTTCTAATCCATAGAAATATGCCAGAGGAGATAAGGAAATATTGTGTACTTATTCGTCATTGGGGAATTAAAGTAATTAATGCTGAAAACAATTTGATATCTGTAAACTTTTTAACATCTTGTTGAAAAGATGCATAGAATGCAATGCTGATTATAATTTTTTAAATAGCTGCAACAATTGTTAAATTTGAGAATAATTTTTTAAATATTTTTATTTTAAATAATTTGTAATCTTGTTGGAGATGGAACAAGTACGGGAAAGTCGATTGTAGCTGATGAAATAACGAACAGAAGAACATTGCTAAATTTGTTCTCACTTCTAATGCTATGACATATATTTTTTTCACGCCAAATTTAATGGATATAGTTCTTGTTTGAAGGTTACAGAACACCTTGTATATGCTCCATACTTCAATGTATTAAAACTAACTGAGCAGCAATTTTAAGCCGGAACAAGTGAATAACTGAACGTAGCATCATGACTCACCTGTAATAAAAAATCCATTTTAATTTGTGTTGCATCATGCAACTGTTGTATTGTCCACATAGTGGCTCCATTGTATTGAAGAAGAACAGCCATTTGAAAAGTGGATGCTTGCAACGTATATCTGAAAACAAGATCGAATAAGGAACATTAAATGTAAAAATAGAAATTTTTCGATTAACAAATAACAGAAAGTACCTGTTTTTGAAACAATTTGTATGTAATTCCCCTTTAGACATGTTATACAGCCAATTAAGTTTTCTTCCGCTGTGCTGAGAACTGTAGAAGGTTGTGAACCTGTGTACAGATCGTTCCAGCTATAATAAGGGAGAGAATATAATTACGAAGTGTTTTGAATGAGTAAATACTAATAAAATATATTTAACTCACCTCCGTAGGCAGGGAAAATGTAACAGACTGTTGAAATGGCCAAGAACCAGACGACAGTACTTGGATACTAAAGTCAATGTCCAATGGCTCTGCTGAGTTCGTCAAATGCCTTCGAAATTGTTCGTTCAGATCCTTTGAGACCCCAATATCCTGCGAACAGACTGCTATAATTACACATTTATCAGAAATCATTACTCAAAGCATTTGCATTATTTTTGAAAGCTAATTTAAACGCACGAGACCCGCCCTAACTCTTGTAACATTCTTGGATAACTGATAAGAACCTGGAAATGACTAAGGATAAGCACAAAAGAAAAGAGATCAAAAGGAGTACTGTACCTGGAACATGCGTTGCAATTTTGAAGTATACTCGAATCCACAGGCTTGTTTCAGTTTCGAGATCATAGAAGCCTCAGCGTCATCGCTAGCGGACATATGCTGCACTAATCGCTTCGCTAACATCTTGCTGTAAAACTTTTGAAATACATCTTTGTCCTCTATGTATTTAAATACAACCATCTGAAAGTATTTTATTCGTTGAAGCACAATTTTTATTAATTATATGAGAAAAGCATCAATCGTCAGTAAGCAAATCATATTACGGCGAAAAAAAGATTACAAATATAAAAAACTCACAACTTGGTTAAGTGTATCTTCCAGCTCAGCTTCTTCAGGATTCTTGCTGCTTTTCTTTAACAACAGATCGCAATACCTTGCTAAAAGTTCCGGAGATTTGCTGCTACTATTTGCAGCTTTAGTTACTGAATTGCTGTTAATGAATCGACCACAAGCCTTATCTAAAGCTGCTACGAAGCCGCTATCATTGTTGAATGCTACCAAGACCAAGGCGTTGTACTTTTTATGAACTTCTAATATTGTGTTGACATATACCTTAGGATCCTTTAAAAAGAGAAAACACTATATAACGAACAAATGCATGATACATGTCAAGATTATAATTAAACTCATATTAGCAGAAAAAAAAAACAGATAAATAACATCCCATAATTTACTTACATTTGCGGCTGAATCACCACACTTATCAATGGCTGCCAGACCCTGATTGGCTATGTGAGTCTCAAGAAGATTTCGCAGCTCACCAAGACCATTTGGTATCCTCGCAACCAACTGATACATCCTTCCTAGGTCAATATTTTTGTCTGCATCCAGTAGATTTTGAAATTCCGAGTGAAAGATGTCCAGATGTTTTTCAATCAAAACTTTCTCACACGTTTTTGCTAATCTCTCGTGGGTTGTCTGATGCAAATAAACCTGAACGCGTTTTTGTTCCTCCAGTAACCTTTGTTCAGCCTATTAAGTATTTATTTTAGGAAGTGATTATTAAGAAAAATGGCATTAACAAAATTAGGAGACAATAAATAGAATAAATAAAATTACCTTTTTCATGTATTCTGTAACTGGATTCTGACGAAGAAATTCGGTACTTTCGCGAGTATAAAAACGTTCAGTGTCTTCAAGGAAGACATTTTCAAAGGAATCCTTATAAACTGTAAGATTCTGTCCCTTGGCACCAGGATCTTCCTCGTTAAGACCTAGCTCAACATAACAATTAATTACTCCACTAACCAGACGCGTATTTATCGTTTCACCATTCCGTTCTCGTTCAATCAGCTTCAATACTGCATTAGTCACCTAAGCGTAATATTCTTTATAATGACATCGACTTTTACAATTAATCTGTAACGCAACATGTTTTCCTTATAATTTTTTAGCAACATACTTGTTTGTTCAGATGCTTGAATAAATTGTCTCGCCACGTAACTAGCGCTAGTTGATAGATCTCATATATTCCTTTACGCCCTTCTTCACATTCCCGACGGACCCAATGACGATTTAGATAAGCACACACACCATTTAAGACTTTACTGCTGAATTGATACTCTTCCCATTGTCTCGTGTAGAATTGAAGAACATCTTCGTCCATCAAGTCGATACCATGCTAGAAAAGAAAAATAATATTAGCTTGAGTGCCTTGTATGTTTATCATGGTATACACCTACGAATATTTTCTACCTTCAGTAGACTAATAAGATAATTCCTAAGAAAATCTCGAAGACGCTTGTACAACTCCAAACCAACCAGTTGTGCGCCACCTGTAACTTGGCCCTTTTTACTTTTTGTAGAAGTTCTTGTAAGCTGTTGATGTACACTCGTGCAATAGTTATACACATGTCTATGATAATAATTATGTAGTAGTAAGGACAGAATAAATTGAAAATCTTTTTATATCAAGATAGTTATCACAGGAAGATTTGCAAAGGATACGTATAGAGCTCAATATATCTTGGTTTGGACATACATTGTCTGTTATAGACTTGCTCTATGCCTTCCTTCAAATCACCCCAAATTTGATCAAGATCTATCTGTTTAAGCCCTGGAGGACCACCTTGGTGACTCCCAGCCCCACCAGAGCCTCTATGCCCTGACATCCTATTCTTGTGAGCTTGTCTGGTCAGCGTCAGTGTTACTACTTGCTACTACGATTCTCCTGGAAAGTCTAATATGTTAAAAAATTGATTGAGGAACAAACTACTAACTGTACATTGGCCTTCTTTACATAAATACATTCATACAGAATGGTATTAAAAAACAGAGCAAACTGGGTTTCAATGATAAATAGTTTGCAGTGTAGAATCACAAAAACCACTTAAATTACCTTTATCCTGATTATACTTTACATACTTCTTACTGCACTGAAAAAGAGTTTTAGTAATAATATTAACCATTGAAAATTCTATTGTACCGTTTAAATGGTAAGTATTGCATATGTGACATTTAAAAAGTTTATTAAGAAAGAAATTTATATTTAACAATTATTATGCAGATAATTAATCATTGTTAAAAAACAGATAATCATTCAAAATCAATATTACAAAGTAATAATATGGGGAATATATTTATATTTACCTATATATGTATATATACATTAATCTATATACTTATATACAAATATATGTGTGACTAATCAATGGATACGATCATATATTAATTCAATAGGGTATTCTGACAATGCAAAATAACCGAATTGAATTAGATTTTGTCAATTGCTTATTTATTTTATATAAATATGCTTCTTTTATTCCATAGAATAATTAGCCAATCTTATATTTATTTAATTTATAAACATTTTTTCTGTTCATCCTTCATATTGAGATTAAAAGTTCAAGTCTATTAGTAAACACTTGATATCAAACATCTATTAAAAAGCAAAAGCGATCCCAAAAAAAAAATAGGAATAAGAAAATGAGACTGATTCCGTTACATGAAGTCGTCCTCATGGAAATATTCTTAAGAAATAAATAGCAGTAAAAATCAGACCGTTCATTTACATAAGATTATTTTAATGAAAGTAAGCTATAGCTCTATAATCATAAAACGTAATCAAATATTCGGAATCATAGTTAATTTTATTTTGACGAGATTTTTAAAAAGAAAAAGCTTCGAGGACAATAAGCGCGCACTCACCTGTCGATGTTTACCACCGCATACCAAGCCGCTTCTGGAATATTATTTTTAGGTGGACCGAGAATATGAATTCCGGACAGACGTCGTCTACGAGAATTTTTGGTTTCGTTTTGAAATTGAGCTTGGATAAAATTGCTCGATCGTAAATTGCGTGTACTAATCGTCTTCTGGTCAGCCGAGATCTGCTGGTTCACTTCTGACAGGTTAACTCACAATGTTACCAACGTGAAAAACTACAGATGACATAGTATACAGCTACTTGTGTGAAGTTAGCCGTCCAACTTTTATTTATTTAACTTTTTCTTACTCCAATCGTTTGATTGTTTTGTAAAAACGTTTGATAGTCAATAATTTTTTCAGAAAATAAAAATAAAAATCTGGTGTCAAGTTCGCCGGCATTTGTTTTTAATCGTATTTAGCTTTTCACGGGCTCAATTGATCAAGAACCATTTAATAGTTATGAATTAACTAATAAAAACGTTTGATAGTCCCCCGATTGCTAGAAAAAATAAAAAACACCATATGCGATTCGAAGTTCTCAATCGATACAGTACAATCGATTCCTCGATCGGTGTATCCATTGAATTAGACAATATTGCAAACTTTTTCTTCTTCCAACCGTTAACTTAATGGTCGTTTGATAGACTTGTAAAAACGTTTGATAGTCAACAGTTTTTCAAAAAAACCAAATCGGTAGGTCCGTTTGAGCAAGAGTTTTACGTGTTCTGAAGAGCTATAGCTGTATTCGAAAATAAGACGAGAGCATTGAGAGCATGTTGTGTCTCGATCAAATGCATGCAATAAACAGAGAGGCACAGGTCTCTTTTCGTTAACTACACTTTTTGTACTTTCCAAAAAGTGCAGATTCTCATTGCTTACTTAAAAATATCATCCAATAAGAATTTTCAAGAAGTGCAGAAAGTGACCTCAGTGAAGATAGCCAGACAACTTTAACTTTTTAACTTTTTATCATACCTAATCGATTGATGGTCGTTTTGGTGGTCATTGGTGGCCTAATTAAAATATTTGGTGGTCCGTCATTCTTTTATAATCAAATAATCCAAATTGGACCGTGAAGTTAGCCGAAAAATAGTTTGTTTTCAACGAATTAAATTTTTCAGCTGCTCAATCGATGCGTAATCGTTTGGTGGTAACGAATATCATAATTAAAACGTTTGCTGATCGTTAATTTTCGTACAAAATTTAAAAAACGATGCAGTCTAACTGGAATGGATATGGGTGTATGAACACACATTTACGGTCAATGAAGCAGATATTTCTGAACAGATTGTCCTTTCGAAAAAATTAATTAATGCAAGAACGCTAGCCGATGATTGGTAGTCTAATTAAAACATTTGCTGGTCGTCAATTAATGCACAAGGTACGAAAAATCATACCTCCGATGCACGACGAGCACCAAATGCTGCGATTGGCTGAGAAATGGATATGGCGCATCCGACCAATGAAATGTGTTTACGTCCTTAGATATGTTTCCGCTGTACAGAGAATTTTACTTCCGGCGATATTGACACCAGAGATATGAGTAGGGAGATTGCCAATGGGCCGATATTCTTGAAACCAATTATATTTTGGAGTAAACGCGCCAACTGAGCGGAGGACCGTCGAACCATACCCACGTTCTTGATTGGTCGAGTATATATAGATATACTACGCGTGATATTCGTGAGCTCCGTGAGACGCATGGATTATACCGGGTGGCACTGTAAAGCGTGTGTTTTCTATTGTCGACACGTCACCTGGACGGAGAAGCTTCGAACCATACCCACGTTTTTGATTGGTCAAGCGTATGTATCAGAGTACTTTAAGCAAACTCCAAACGTGTATAACAACTGAAATACAGTTTTCCCAATCTGTACGTCACGGTAACTAAATATCATACGTGCATGGTAACGAGTCAACGTGCGAGAGTCTCGGGTTCGAGACCCGATTATTATTACGTTTTTTTATTCATGAACAATGCTTATTGAATTTATTAATTAACTTGGAATGTAGCAAATGCATTATTTTATTAGATTAGATTATATTTTTTTCAAATTTAGCTATTTATTTTATTATTACGTGTATAACAACTGAAATACAGTTTTCCCAATCTGTACGTCACGGTAACTAAATATCATACGTGCATGGTAACGAGTCAACGTGCGAGAGTCTCGGGTTCGAGACCCGATTATTATTACTTTTTTTTATTCATGAACAATGCTTATTGAATTTATTAATTAACTTGGAATGTAGCAAATGCATGATTATATTATACTGTATACATTTTATTATATTATACAGTCGTGTCTATTTTTATGCCGTTGATACGTTCCACAGAATTAATAAAAAATATAAGTGAAGTAGAAGGAGGAACCCGGATTTTTCATGAACCCTCAAAACCGCATTAAAAAGTCACTTGCAAATGGATTTTACCCATTGAAATGCTATATGTAGATATACATATATTCCGCATATAAAGATCGCGAGGCACAGAATACATGGGTATGCCCAGTCTATTGACATATAGTGTGGACTACGCGATCTCTACCTTAGATCCTTTTAAAAAGTGTCCGCTCAAATAAACAAAGACGAAATGAGGTGGCGGCCAATTGTTCTCCTTTTATAACGTTCCCATTGCCTGTGTTTTCTATACTCTCGTACTACGCTGGTTAGAAGAAGATAGGGCTTGGCCGCCACCAGTCGCTATCTTTT